GAATATTTGCTATTTTCTTGATATTATGAAATGCAACTGGTATTGCTTGGCAGTGTTTTTGGAAGCATCTGGTTAACAATTAGCTTTCATGTTTCTATGTTACTTAACTTGAATACAATTGCATAAATTAATTTAGTTTAGTTAAATTAGTTTAGTAAATATGATTCAAAAAACAGAAACAACTTTCAACTTTTGAAGCTTACGTATCAAATTACGGTCTTATATAATATATATTTATTAAAGATCAGATTAAAACTATACACGAAACAATACTGATTTTTTATTAAAAACCTTAATTTAATAATTCAAGAATAATACTGCACAATAAAAGCAAAGGACTAAACTCTCTGTTGTATCTGTTTATTGAATCAATTTATTTATTTGTTAATCTAAGTAAAATGACCGAAAATTAACAATAAATATTTAATTACAATATAGTTACGAGTATTGTGCCTTCAAATATTTTACCAGCTTTTTATTGCAAGACTAAAAAAAGTGTATAGCTTCTTAGGGTCACAACACATCATATTATTCCGAAGTTGCTGTTTAATTTGCTATTAATTGCTTCGCGATTGTTATCGATTTGAAGCCAATCTAATATTCATGAAAAGTCTTATAATAAAATATTTATTTTAACAATATAAAACGAGTAATTATTGCAAGGATTCTCTTATAAGTAATGAGGTATATCGAATGGGTATCTAGCATTGCTAATTTAAAAGTTTAGAATATATTATTTGAAAAGCTATCAGCTAATAATGAATATATTAAAATTTTATCAAACGGATATTATTCCTTGTTAACAATGAATATACAATAATATGTGTAATATTTTACTTGTAAAACTTTTTAAAATGCGGAAAAGTACAAAATACTACTATGTTTCTTTAAAAGCTAAGGACGATTTATTAAATGTTAAAAATGTATTGCATTATTAAAAATGTAACAAATATCTGTTGAAAAGTTTTTGCTTAACGTGATATTTGGAGCTGATTGTATTTTAAAGAACCTTAAATTTAAAGACAACATAATAGAGTACATTAAAGATTAAGTATAAATCTAATTAATATGAGTATTAATTTCTAGTTTTAATTTCAATTCCGTATAATGGTGACTAATTTAATGTTATACCGAAAAAAGTAGCATTGCTGTTTTTAAATTGATTCGGAATTTTATGAGATATAAAAGTGAGTTATTTTATTGAGGTAGATGGATATACGAATTCACAGTCCACCTAGAGCTAAGTGATTTTTTTAAATAACTAATAACTAGCACTAATCATATAAAACTTGCATAGGAGGAAATGGTATGGAGCGTCGAATACCGGACGCAGTGATGTAAATTGGGAGAAGTCTGTGTCCAGCATTAGTCGACTGTGATGATGATGAAAAGAAGTTCATCTTAAACAATAAAGCAAAAAGCTAAAAAAAAAGCATGGAAGCATAGAATTTAAGAAATAAAGCAATTTTACTTGACTACAAATTCATACAGAAAACTCAAAGTAAGTATAAATTTGCAGCACAAATGATGTATATAAACTGACTTAAAAAAAATAGAGTTTACAACCAAAGTGGTGAACCTTTTGCGACCACATAAATGAATACTAAATAAACAGAGTACATTTTGACTCAGGTGTGTTTTTCTATGCCTTGTGCTATTGATACTGTTACTAGCTTAACGTGATTTACGTTAAGGATAATAGTTCAGAATTAAGTTTTAGTTTTACATCACATAATAATATATTATTATTATCATTCAAGTTACAAGTAAGAGCTATTTTAAAATATTCATAAAGCTACTAGAGATTATTCGGTGGTTAAGCTCGAGATGGTATAGAATAATTTTGCTGGACACTTTTGCTGAAGCTTTCGAGATATAAGCTTGGCATCGTCTTCTATGTATAGAAGACATAGCCGCTGCACGAATATATCTGTCTTAGCTGAGCTCAGGTTACTCCCAGAGGCTCTCTGGAGTATACATTACCTTCCACAGATTTGGATATCTGACCGTAGCGGTAGGGTAAGGAGGGTAAGAGGCGAGACGATGTCCCAAGTGACGGACGGATCATGTATCTGAAGATTAAAATATACCTCTGAGTACAGCTCTCCATCACGCTAGTTACTCATATCGACGGGGAGAGACAGTAAACTAACTGCATCAAAAGAAGCATGTTTTGGGAGGAGGAATTGATTGAGAATGAAACCAATAGACTATGCTATACTATAGGACTAAAACTATAGTGCTCACATAATCCATACTAATATTATAAATGCCAAAGTAGCTTACTCGGTCTGTCGCGATTTCACGCTAAAACTACTGAACCGATTTAAATGAAATTTGATACACAGATAGTCCAGAGTCTGCGAAGGGACATAGGCTATTTTTAACACGAAAAACGGATTGTTACGAATTAAAAGGGGAGGATGAAAAATTATATGGAATTATCGTAATTTTTAGAGCTAAAAGCTTTAAATTCTTCTTTTAAATCATATTTTTTTATCATTTCATTACACTTTTATAATCTATGGAACCAAAGCAATGATTATTTTTAAGGGATGGCTTGAAAGTAAAGCATTGGTCTTGTTTAGGAAAATGCGGTATAAAATTGATTTCTATCCCAATGATATCTCACTATTCGAATTAAGACTAGATGTATTTATAAATATCACATAACGTACGTACTGCTATTATTTATTTGGCACATATTTTGGATCACGTTACAGTAAATTTGTAATATTACGTTGTTTAAAGGAAGACTTCATGAATTGATTTGAATTTATAATATCGACAGAACTTTTGGCACTTTTTTTTCTGTAATACATGTTTTTAAGCATACCATTTTACATATTTTTTCTTATAAGTATTAATCAAATATTAAACTTTTTTAGACTTTTTTAACGATAGTACATTAATTACAAAAGTAGCTTCATGTTACACAGTAATAATATATATTATATTCGCAAGTAATATATCAAAAATGCTACGTGTATAACTTGTATTAAAATTTGAAAATACTAATTACATATTCTATAGATTGTCGTGGCGTGAATTACATAAATACTGATCAGCGAATACTGTCACTAATTTTGTCATTTGTCATCATTACATATTGTAACCTTACTATAACATATACCAGCTTACGAATTATATTTTCACTCACACTCTTTTTACTAGAAATAAAAATTACTAATTTAATGACACCTATTTTCAATAATACTTATATATTAAAAATCGGTTAATACATGCATTTATTTCACACACAATTAATTAATTAACTATTAAAATTATTTAGAGTAATAACTACATTTATAAATGAATTCCTCAAGATCGAATATTTTAGTAGCATTTCAATTATGTAATGTCAAAATACATAACATGTCCTTTTACAATACATTTTATGAAATTTGTTTTATATTTTAGTTATGATCAAATGAAAAGGCGTGGCTCGTTATTATGATAAATAAAAGTGACAGTACACTCTAGTTATCATAACCACTATGTGCACACTCAATGAGCGACTATCAACCATTTATTATGTTTCAAAGAAGTATTACGTCGAAAGTTTCGCTTTGTAAATAGGAAAAAAAATAACTTTACTGCACTATTTGTTCTATACGCTTCTATCGATATAATTTCAAACAGCCAACCCTATGGCTCTCGATTACTTAATATGAATGGCTTTTGCAGCACAATCTCTACGTATAACTACAATGTGTACAGCGTTTCTCTTTGTGTTACAACTTTATTGCTTTTACGCTGTTTTTTATTTAACTACATTTGCAAATCTCAAATAGAAATTCACATTACGATCACACACACTACATAATATATTATGTCCTTATAAGTCTAATTGAAAAAAAGTTATTTTTTTCTCTTTGAATGTACTTTCGTAAGCACGAATCGCAAAGCTTATTATACATTTAGTTAAACTAGTAATGGTTTCGGTTAAATTTTAAGGATTCAAATAAGCATGAGATACCTAAGAATAGGTGATACAAGTGATAGTGATAAGAAAGTTTACGAGACATTTAACACATAATTATGACAATGATAATCGATTAAAATAAATCGATTGATTGAAGGAGGAGGCTTAAGTTGTGCCTCAGAAGCGTAGATTTATTATATAAATTAAATCGATTTGTACACGAATTGAGAGTTTAGCCGAGATATTATGATTAATTACGCTGACAATATTTACTTGTATGTCACTCTAACTTACTTAAATATTGAAAATCACAAAAAAGTATAACGTTATTTATAAGTTTTTGTGGGTTTGTTTTTTTTATTTAATTTTTATACACCAAGTACGACTTCTATGAAAAAATGCTATGGCAAAAAAAGTGATTAAATTATTAATTAAATTACGCATCAACTAATTTTTCAACAACCTCGCCATAAATATTTTTATTTGAGTACACAAAAAATAACACACAATTTATGGAGTACATAATATTAATAATGGAGTCGCCAAACTCACCTTACATAGTTATGGTAAGAAAAAATAAAATTAAAAAATCTACGATTTATCTTCTTTTTTTTTTTTGCATCAGCGACGTTTCGAGTAATTTACAACTCAGTACGCTCATGGACGAAAGCGTAATGCAGTTTTAATAATCAACCATCAAAACATAAAATATAAGATAAAGACATGATATTTTATAGTTAATGTTACAATTATAGTTAATGTGGCTATACTGAGATATTAAAACTTATATCTCAAGGTGGGTGGCGTATTCAGGTTGTAGATGTCCATGGGCTCCAGTAACCACTTAACACCAGGTGGGCTGTGAGCTCGTCCACCCACCTAAGGAATAAAAAAAAATTGCAAATAAATGTATACTTTATGAATATTAAATCAAATAACAATGAAGCTGATGAGCGTCGTGATGCAGATCCAAATTCGAATGACCTCGTAAAGTAAACAATTTCAAAGTTGATAGAGGTCCACATCGTTTGGAGTTTTTGTAATAGAAGACCGACGGATAGTGACGCCGGCCTTCTCCGAGGATCAGACGTGCGTGAAGCTTGCATGCACGGCATCATCTTGGGCGATCTGATTCCCAGCGGCGAAATACTGAAATAGCATAAATATCGGATTATTATCATTAAGTATAAGTCAATTTAATTTGTTTATAATAAAAAACACTTTTCCCTTTGTTTGCATGCTGATCGAAACATGGACGATCTATTGGAGCTGTGCAAATAAAACGTAGACACTACTTCAAATATTATCAGAGATAATATTTTTAAAGGAAAATTGTGAAAAATGCAAAATAATATAAAAAAATCGTGTTTGAAAAACATGTGTGTTATCTCAAATATCAAAAGGTAATTTATATACATTAAAAAAGGGGATAATATAAAACACGATGATAAGGTTCTTCTTGGGATTCAAGACACAAGATGCACACAGACCATATACCACACAGTATCCAGTGCCACTTACAAACAATCATTATATTATGTTGTTTCCTTTAATACATTTTTCGGTGAGCATGTCCCAACAATTCTCTTCCTAGGAGGAAGTCATTGTACTAAACACAAATAAAAGAAAATTAATTTCATTTAATTTCGTTTTAATAACTTGATGAATTTTTTATGATCCTTTTTTTCCTTATAATTACTACTTACGAATCAACGGTCTTTGAAATTAAAGATAATATTATATTTATTGGCGCTGTAAGGTCAACATCAAGAACAATGTTTACTTTTAATTCACAAAACTCATCACATCTACAGAAAGCTAAATGAATAATACCTACTTATATTTCTTCACGACTCCCCTCACTCGTCTGTATGAACTTCGCGTGTGCAAATTTCGAAAACCGCCGCAATCATCGCGGTGACCAACACTCAACGCTACCTATATAATTTTGTCTAATGTTGCTAATAAATAACTATCATTACAATAAATAATTGAATATAGAAATAATAAAAAGTGTTCTAACCTTACTGACCCCTGCGAAGGCTGCCCCGTTCCAACCAAGACGGTCGCGGTCGCGTTGTGGCGTTCGCTGCGGAGGAGTCTTACGTTCCCTTGTGGACGAAGCGAATTTTGCTCTCGCACGTAAAGCAGCCCTTAATGGCACATTGGCGCGGGTTGCTTCAGCTCGCCCATGCTGACAGAATTCCAGTAATGCAATACCTAAAGCCAAAGCCAATCCGCCAAGAAGCACGTAAAATATTCCAGCGACTTGACTCAAGGTCATCTCCGTTATAGACGATTCCTGCAATAGCAACACTGATTTTAGCCCTAGAAAATATCATTGGGACTACCTAGCTGTTTTTTTTTTAGATAATTAATCACAAAAGGAAGCCAACAGCATGAAATTCATTGGAAACGTAAATAAATAAAAAATACCTCATCATTGCCAATATCACAGTCAGGCTTTTTCATTTTTGAAATCCATTTATTCCACAATTTAGTCAATAGACCTTCCTTCCTCAGATTAACAATTGCAATGTTTATGGCTTCCCTGTGAATTTATATTCAATTATATTATTTCAAAATAAATTATAATGAATGTTTTCTAATCAAAATTCGATTTCTTTAGATAACCTTGCAACAGTTTATATGAATAACATAATTCTGATATGAAGCCTTGAACGAAAACTCAACATGATAAAATAAACTGATATTATCTAAAAGTAATGTTACAGTTTAGTCTAAATTAAACTGTCTTAATTTATAATCCTGAAATAAATAGACGAGATTATTTTAGGGCAGAATGCAAAATGTTGATCAATAATATAATATACAATTAACATGGAATATAATGCACTCTCGTAATGGCCATTTCGTTCCAGCACAGAGATTCAAGCAGCTTATACAGTGCGATATAAATTCAAATTTTAACTTGTCAAAAATCACGTCCGCAAATCGTGTGCCATAAAAATGGGAAATATAAATTTGAAACGGCGAGAACCTCCCGCACTGACGAAGCCCCACGTAAATTTACGATCTTTCGGTATTCGACTGGGAATTACCACGAGAGGCGAGATTTCAGCTAGATAAAGAGAGATCTCGTCTGTATGCTGGAAATGAACTGGGGAGTTAGTCGGTATACGTATTACATTCGCCACTATTTTCACTGTCATTCTGTCTTTCGGAATGAATGTTCACTGCCCATTTAGATTTTGTTCCAATGTCTGCGTCCATTTTTTGTAGTGACTTGTTTAAAAAAAAATTGCCTTAGATAACAATTTTTTCGTAGTGTCTTGTTTCAAAAAAAATAGCTGGACCAAGAGAATAATGGAGCAGTCTTTTTTGCTGTAGATAGTAAGACAAGCAACATAAACTACCTGATCTTAAAAGGTTTCAGTAGAAAAGTTTATATTATAATATTATTCTAACGCTGACCTAACCTCAGCTAAGGCTCGACAAACAAAAACATTTGAAATTAACGGTCAAACTTCATTAACGTGAATCACTAAATGCAAAAGAACGAACGATCACGTATGCGTAATTGTGTATTTCACGTCGAATATTAACGAATTCTATTCATTAGTGTTTGTAATGAAGTAATGCATAAGTATCCTTACTATTCTCTAAATATTCCTAAAATGACGGAGTTGCATTTTGGAAGTTTTTAATAAAAGAAACAAATTGTTTTCTTGTTTATTTCTAACTTCAAAAAACTTAATAGACAGGCGTGAGTTCTGAGGAAGTGTTTTATTCTTTTAAATTTGTAATCGAAATTTACTACAGACCAACCAGTCTGGTATTGACAGCTTAACCGAAGATAGACAAGAAATTGAAATTTCTAGACTAAAACCAAACAAGGGAACACAGAGTTAGCGGATCAAAAGTAGAATTCGGTACGATATTTTTTCCTTGCATTCGTTGCCCGTCACTTTTGTACTGACTGACGCCTTTGAGCTTATCCCTTTCATTTGATTGACACCCGAAACCTTTTCTGGTGGATAGAACTGCTTAGTTAGTGATTTTTTTAGTTTTAGCTGATAATTTTATTGTATCTATGAATTTTGTTCGACGCGAAACGTTTGTTGGAACCTTAATTTCTTGTTTGTTTCTTAGAAAATTACATTTGATTCTATCAGCATTTAGGTGATCCATGATTTTTACCTCAGCGCCGATCCTTTTGCGGTGGCTATACTGTAATATACATGCTTATATCGGCAGACGCGTGGAGTGTCGCAGGAGAATTGACCTTCACGATTAGAGACATAGCTAGGGACAGCTTCAGCATAAGGATTTTGTTCTTTTACCAGACTAATTCTTGGAAATTGCGTATTCTGAAATTGAAGATGATGATAATAAACTGATCTTCATGCTTTAAATAAAAGTTGCTTGATTTCAATTAACAGAAGTACTCACAATAATTTAAAACAGTTTTCTTCTGTTCAAAAATTTATAAACATTAAACATAAATTTTAAAATCTATAACTGAATCATTAAAGTGATTCTGGTTAAATCATTAAAGCGCAAATTTCTTTAAATTGTAAAATGAAAGACAACTTTTATTAACTTAATGGAATTTGTAATGTAAAAAATATATATATAAATATTAACAATCAGGTAAATATAACGGGTGATCATTTCTGGTAACTGAAAAACAAAAATGAGTGGGAATGGATCAGTACTTACTTCAGTTTTATATTAATCGTTATAAGATATTCAGTAGGTTGAACACTTCACAAAAGAAACTTATCGATAAACTTGATAAGATGATCATAAAAAAATAATTATATTATAGTAATCAGCTGAATTTTGAATTGTTATTTTTCTTCAAAGAATTCGCTGCAGCAATCGATCCATTTACTAGCAAAATCGTTACCTGTTTCTTAAAAGGGCATTTGCTCTTACTTCGATATTCGGCAGGGTCGATGTATAGCTGATTGACTGCATTGGCGCTGCTATACGTTCCACTATTAGATAGGCAGCAAGATTAGCAGTGTACGAACATACTAGAATAAGTGCGAAGAACCACCAAACCGTGCCTACTATTCTTCCAGATAACGACCTAAAATAAAATAAAAGCTAAAAGATTCGAATTTGGAATAATTTTACAGTTGTTTCGTTATATTGGTGGTATTAAGTTGGAACATTATTAAAGATATCCGATTACAATCTCTCATGGACATCGCATATGACACAAAATGCGGGGATATTTTATCATTAACTATGTCAAATCCCATAATACTCGGAGCATTCAATATTTAAAACTAATGAAATATTTGATTCATATAGTTATTAACTCATGTCAAAACTAAAATAACTTCCCTGGTTCCAATTCAAAACCATCAATGATCAGAAGCGTTAGTCTACACGAACGGTACCATTAAAAATGTTCATAAGCAATATTATTATGTTGCTGCGCGTAATTAATACTATAGCTATCCAAGCACAGAATCGACAGTAGAGTATAAACGCATCCCCGCGTGAAATCATTTTTCCCGTGGTATTCAAATTTCGTGAAGCTGAATTTCTAACGATATATTTTACAATCGACTCTCGCAAAGGGAGCGAATACAGATAAGTAATTTTATTACGAGCTGTATCTCGCATCGGTAGACATAACAAGGTGATTATCATGCCCCTTTTTTCACCGTGTTCTTGTACACAATACATTGGCCTGTATCTCAAGTACGCACGATTTAACACACGACAAGGAATTTAATCTAGAATTCCATAGCCGGTGCCGCTTTAATATTGACCGCATTTCTTTAAACGTTTGTAGGTACGTTGCTGCGACTGGTTTGTTGTTATTGTTAAAATGAGATTTTCCTGTACACGGTGCGTACTTTACATTTTAATAATTAATTTTTTTGTTTAAAATATTTAGCTGACTTAATTTTAAGGTATTTTAATTTTAAAATCAAATCACTTCTTTTTGATGTGAAACATCTATAGCCACACGTAAAACCGATTTCTGGCGTGGCGACGCATGTCGTGGCGACGCGTCGCCATGCGCAATCAACTGTGCGATTCTCTCCCACTCGATCCGGCGTTAAGCCATCTCTCTCGCTACACTGAGCTCGGATACCTATAGTGTATACTCCGTAATGTATACAGTGTTGTTTACTACAGTACACATAACCTGTGTTTTACTTGAAAACAAATTATATTTCGTAATATTTTATTTTATCATTATGACATATTTAGTTCCTATCACAATCTGTTCTTTTCTGCATATTACTTTTACAAAATAATGTCGATGTTTCACATCTGCCAGGCGTCCCGTGACGGCTCACATTTTTTAAAATTTTATATTTAATTTTGCCCTGTGTAGTTGTTATCAGTTAAATGAATTTAGGATGATTTTTTCATCGACTTGTTATGATTTTATATGCAAAGTAAAAATTTAATAGTTAAAGATTGAAACAAAAAGAATTTGCTTCGCTCTTTGACTAGTTCAGGTTGGAATTGAGGCAGTCCAACGCCAATCAGTACTGTGCTTGTGTTTTGACGGACAAAGTCGAAACGCTCGTCGAAATGTTGAAATGCAACAGGAAACGAAGAATTGTGTAGCGGTATTTCCTTTGGAACTAGGGTATACAGGACGATTTGTTTTGATTTATTTAAAGTCTTTCCCTCCGTACTATCGTGGAGACCGGGCGGTACGTCAGAAATGATGTTATCGCCCGGGACCTAGGTGTGGAGTCGCTCAGGGAGTTCGTGATTAGGCGAGCCGAAATCGGCCCTCATGAGCATCTCCACAACATAGCCCCGCTGCACGCCAGATCGCCTGATGGTACGGCGTTGCCACGGAAGCTACTGGTACCCCCATCAATCGTTCGGAGATAAAGCTCCTCACCAGCTGTGAGGCCGGAGAGGACCTATGAGCGCCCCCCTCGGAGTTGGGTTTTCCCAACCTCTTGTCCCACAGGCTTCTAGCCCGCCCATTAATATTGTAAATAATGGGGAGAGGGGATGATGAAGAGTTGCCGTCACTTAGAATTAAGTTTGGTTAAGCTAGGTTAAGTTAAGCTAAGATATAAATTGTAAAAGGGACAAAAGGGGGAGGAGAGAAGCGGCCGCCCGGTTAAGAAGAGAGAAGAAGGAAGTAAGAAGAAAGAAGAAAGGGTGAAGATGAAGAGAAGAGAAGAAGAGGCGAAGATCATCTTCATCTTCAACGTAACCCAACAGCAATCCAAGTTTGCTACTATCACAAGCCCGCAGCTCATCAACCCTGCCTGGATAGACAGGGAGTTACAAGCCCGGGCAGAGGGGCTTCCACGAGGCCCGTTCCACGCCCCCGTAAGAGAACGATACGCCTCGAAAGATTTATTTAAAAAAATTTGACCGGCAGAACCGGTGAAATCTCAAATCATAGAGATGGTGTTTCGTGTAAAAAATGTATGTATGTATTTAAAGATAGTTAAAGGTTATCGGAAAAGTGTTGTTCGGATTCATAAAATTGCGAGAACAGGATAGGCAGGTAACACGACCTACAATGCATCGTTCTATGTAAATCATTATAATGCTTTACTATCGCGTAGGCAAAGTACCGATGTTTAATTATCCTAAACAAAAACGATTTTTTATTTATTTTATACCTTCAATAAAGGCAGCTTTTTTTTAAACTCCTTTTTTTTTAGTATATTATTTTTATTTTAGTATTTTATAAAATAGACCAGTCAAAGGCCTAAACTCTACTATATGTATATCCTATCCTTTATCAAACTGAATTTTATTTATTACAATAAAAAAGAAAAATCTTAACAATATTCTAGATTTAACTGAGAATCATTAGTACCCGAAAAATGTATAAAACAGTATTGATTACTTAGCTGGAAACTGTAACTAGTCTTGTAGATTAACTAGACAAACCTGCTCGAGCATACAAACATGAAAAGTGAGTTCATAACATAGACTTGAAACATTTAGTAAAAATGTTATTAGTTAAAACGACTGACACTTACTTGGGAACAACGTCGCTTCCTTGCTGCATAAAAGAGCCGAGAGAAAACCAGAACGAATTCCAAATACTAAATTCGTTATGAAGTATAATCTAAAACAAAAGAAAGCATTTCTATAAATATAACATTGTATGTTTAAAAAACTCGAAATTGATAAAAATGATATAATTAGTTAGTACCCGGTAAAACAATAATATTTTTGTATTTGTCATTTATTACATTTATTTGCTTATACTTTATTTTATTTTTTTACTAACAATGAATATCCGTAAATAATTTGTCCTATGGAGTAATAGGTATCAACACAGTATTCATTCCGTTTGTAAGTATCCTTACGTAGTCATACCTCATTCGTGCTGCTTATCGGATGATCCAAATGTGTGTCGGATATGGAAATCGATCGCCATTCACGCGGAGAAAATCTTGAGACCAAGAAAAGAACGATGCTCACAGCAAAAAAACTAAATAAAACACATAGCTGAAACAAAGGAAATTTGTTGCAATTTTTGTGCATCACCCGGTTATGTTTGTCGTTTGTATAGACTTACATCAATAAAGAAATAATTAAAAACACCCAATCTATGTACCTCTTCCTGACTCGGAAGATGAAAATACAAAGGGTGGATGAAGTTTCAATTAAAAAAATATGCTTTTTTTTTTACTGGCCATCAACAATGGCAATTGGGTACAGTCCAGTCGTAGCCTATACAAATGCACAGGCACTTATCAATTATAAGCTTTATATTTATATTTAAATTTATACAATTAAAAAAGATTTAATGTGCCATAAAGCTACGCACTAAGTGCACAGCTAAAAAAGCTATGTAAAATTCTGTGTCACATTTATTAACAATTTTTGTATATATTTCTCACATATAATTTACGTTTTACGTTAACTTCGCTATCGTCTGATTTTATCTCATAACTTGTTAGTTTTTATGACTCAGTATAAAAGAGTCATAATTCTCCTCTCGATATCGCGTCGCTAGTCCCGTTGTATCGCAAATACTATCAGACACGAGCAAGATCATACAATTTTGAAGCAAACTCTATAAAATACCAATCAATATACGACTTTCCTGGTACCGAGTAGCTAACCTAGCTCGCCGTAATGTAACAAGAAACGATATTTATATGGAATTTCGCAACTGAATCCGTATTTTACAACAAAAATTTTCTGAGCCACGTAGTAATACAAAACCTTGCAGGAAACCTACAATTTTATACATTGTTGTCCTCTTTTGAAAACAATGAATCTACGAAAGCTAGATGTGATATTTTGCCCCGTGCTTTCTATTATTTATAAATGACTTTAGTTCGGGGCGACGCATCTATCATTCCAGATATTACGAATTTTCCTAAGCTAGTTATTTTCCAACGCTCCTAAACTACAAAACGACATATTTATGTGGCAACTTGCCTTTTGCTAACGCATGTGGTGAATATGAAAATAAAGTTAAACCTTGTACAGTCCAGTAGGGTTGCGAAATATGACCAATGTTTTAAAAATGTCCAACACATTTCAAACTCCAAAACACATAAGAACTAAACATCACGACTGGCATTTTATTTTTTTAATATTATTTTATTTTCGCCATTCCGCTAGTATTGTTTGCTGCAAAAGATTAAAAAATTTATAGCTATTGATAATATATATTTTGTGATTAAAATTTGTGTCAGAATTTATATGGACTTGTTCAATTTATTTGAACTAGTTAATGAACTCGAAAATGTATCTTTGCACGATGAGCACCGCCTTTTGAGCCCTTGAAGAAGGGTAATGAATCTGAGATTTCTAAAAAAATGTAAAAATAATAAATTAAAACAACATTGCACAAAAAACACACATTTGATGTGTATCAATATTTCATTTACGTAAAATCACAACAAAATGAATTGTTCGGTTCACTTATTCCGAACATTTCGTTGTAAGCAATAAGAAAGAAATCAAAATAAACGACAGTATCACTGTAAATATTTAATTTACATACAATTTTGCAACCTAAATGTGTAATCTTTTGGCATCATTTTTAATTGACAATCCTAGGTTCAGTCATTTATTATTCAGTGACATATTTTTTTGCTTGAAACATAATATTAACAACGAACTTCGATATATACAAATAATACCTTTTTTTTCGTAAGATCTATTATTTCATAGTGTATAAAATATTATAAGTATTATTAGAGATAATTTCGATTCTCGTAGGAAAGCACAATCTTACTTTGTTGTATCATTCTTAAATACTACAGGCTCGCCGTCTCTTTCCGTCGGAAAAGGCGACTAAAAGATACACTGGCGATTAACTGATGGGCGTATCGAAATCCCGCACATAATTATAATTACCACCATCCTTTCCATTTTATCCGCGAAAAATGAAGAAGAAGCTTGCGAAGAAGTGTGGAACAACCGCTATATAATGCTAGTTGAGATTCCAATCTGATCTCTCAAGGATCTGGCCGGTGGCAAGGGTGTGGTCCTAAACAGCCTACAGGCCAATTGCCCAACACAAACATGAATTAGCTCTTTCACCTCTGTGAGTAATAAATAACAATACACGCAATTATACACGTACCACTGCAATGAGATCAAAATATAAGAATTTATTGTGTACCGGTCAATTTAACACTGCATTGCTGAAAAAAAAACCTTATTGGTATGGCTCCTATTATATTCAACAAATTGCCGAATAGTATAAAGGATCAGCCTTTAAGGAAATTTAAACAACTCCTGTCTTCGCTGTTATTAAAGAAGTGTTATTACTCTAACCGATTTCTTAAATAATGAATTGTAACACTCTCCCTATTAAGATCTCAATTATTATAATAAACTTTTTGTGATCTCATTCTGAGATTTATCTTAATACCTAGTTTAAATTAGCTTTTTTTTTTTTTTTTTTTTTTTTTTNCAATAGGTCCTACCACCAGTGATTACGCAAATTATAATTTTGCGGGTTTGATTTTTATTACACGATGTTATTCCTTCACCGTGGAAGTCAATCGTGAACATTAGCTGTAAGTTTCTCCTTCAAATTTGTATGCCAACAAGCAGAATGTAGTAAGATTGAATATATTTTATACTAAGACCATACTTGTACCTGCATTCTATACAAATAAATTAATTATTATTAATATTATTGTTATTATTTAGTTAATCTATTTGGTTTCATGTATTCACTCACCCATATCTCCTTTGAGAGTGGCTTCAGGAAGCTGAACGTATCCTTCAGTTGCTTGTGCAGTTTCTTGTGAGTTATCGGGACATCGACAGAGAGAAACGGCTCGCTGAAATCCAAGACTCGCTCCCTTTCAGGGGTCACAGCCAGAGGAGCCACTGCTATATCCGCATCCTAAACGCAAAATTAGAGCACAAAAGACTTATTAAAGTAGTAATTTGTTTAAAAACTTTTTTTTTCCGGTATTTATAAATTTTATTGTCTTCCATGCGTTAAGTTAAGCCCTTCTTCAAATTTTAGCAAAGGTTTCTATGTATTTTTTTTATTATTGCTGAGATGGGTTTACGATCTCACAGCCCACCTGGTGTTAAGTGGTTACTGCAGCATATAGACATCTACAACGTAAATGCGCCACCCACCTTGAGATATAAGTTCTAAGGTCTGAAGTATAGTTACAACGGCTACCCTACCCTTCAAACCGAAACGTATTATAAATAAATAAATATAAATAAATAAAAATAAATAAAAATTATGCTTCACAAGAGGTCCTACCACCGGTAACAAAGTACTAAATGCATACGATAGACGAAGCTCATATAGTTTCAACAAATGAGTTTTTGCAGGTACATCATGAATCTAGAAATAAATACAACGGAGCGTCACTGGATTTTTCTAATTTATAAATTCAAACTAAAATAAATTATAAGTTAATTTAGGGACACAATATTATTTGTGAAATACACGAATTTAATATAAATAAAACGAATTCTCAGTTTCGAGACAATACATTACATTCTTTTATCACAATTGTGCCTCTGAATGCCTGCCATGTGAATACTTTTTTTTTTTATGAGTCAATATATTTTATGAAACTTATTACATCTCACCAAGCTGCGATGATAATAACACCCATTGGCATAAAGATGGAAACTTATTTCGACACTTAGCCCGAAAATATTTCATTAGATCGCAGACAGACGAGAATCCTGACAATACACACGAGTAACTCTTACAAGACAAAGACATAAAGGGCAAACCTTCGCTACTTATTAGATTTCGCGGCGAATGTTACGCAAAGTTGACACGATCGACATGGAGTCTGAGGGTGCGCAAAGCCTTTACAACTAAAATAATAGATTTGAAACTCAATAAACAAGGTCCTTTAATATTCTACCATTCGCTCAAACTTCCAGGCGCTGGGAGAAATTTCAAAATAGAATATGTATTCTAGACATGTATCCTTGTTGCTCATTTTCGGGAGCTATTTGCCATTTAATATTACAGGAAAATTTACAACAAACTTTCATGCTCTGACGTATTGACGTCATTATTGGCTTAGTGATTGGCAAGTGATAGCTCTGTACTACGAGTTCCAAGTTCGATCCTGGTCAGCAAATTTTGTAAAGTAATTTGATATTCAGTACATAGATATTCGTTCCTATCTCGTATGAACATTTACGTTACCTATAAAGCAGCAGTATATCGTAGCTTAAAAAAAAGATGTGTGGTGTCGTGGGACACCAAATAGGAATGAAGTTCCTTATTATAAAAATATTAATTTTAAGTTCTAATCGAGGTATAAAGAAAATAACATTGGAGGTTTCGCAACAACCCACGATCATTCGGTAGCGTGCGAACTTATTGTGGTACACTTCATTCACGGTTGTTTGCATAAGAGTTAGTGTATTGCGCAAACGAACGCTCTGCGATCGTGGTGAATGAATGATAAAAAAATATGTTATTTTTGTACGTTATTACAAAGTTAAGTCGTACACTGTGTGCATTACTAATAAAAATCTTACGTTACGGACGTTTTTTCCTCTGCATCGTCTCATAAGGAACTTCGTTCCAAAATCGTTTTAAAATTGATTTTCACGTAAGCTTAAGTTAAATACAACTTTACCATGTAATTGTCACAGTAGCGAGCGTTTCCCAAGCACGTATATACCACAAAATGGCAAACGGTAACTTGCAAGTGAATTGTAAGTTATCACGTGTACATTCAAACAAGTTCCTGAATGCAAAATTATTCCAAGTTCGTTATTAACAAACATATTACCGCAGGGGCTACGAGCGAATAAATAAAGTTAGATAGTATCTGCTGTAGCGGAGTGAGATCCCAGTGCGGCCAAAGCGCTCTTTCGTTCATTCGGAAGCTCGCTATTTCACCGCTCTTGTTATACCCCGATCGTTATTCATTGTGGGGAATGAAAAGTCACCACAGACTTCGAGGGTATTTCAAATAATAGGTTTTTCCTCTTAAAATTTTGCAGGAAACTTCATGACTTCATAGACTTCATAGATACTATAACAAGAATCATATCGCCCATCGTGGGATATGAGTTCCAAATCTCGATTGCTTAAGACAACATCGAAACTTATGAATACATCAGAACAGAAATTAAGACAACATCGAAACTTATGAATACATCACAACAGAAATTAAGACAACATCGAAACTTATGAATACATCACAACAGAAATTAAGACAACATCGAAACTTATGAATACATCACAACATAAATTGACAACGCCGTAGTTTCAATGTCCCCTCTCACTACGCCCTAACTGTTAAACAACACCCTGATGCGAGACAATGGTCAAACCATAGACCTAGTGAAAAACATCTAACAACTATGTTATTTTATCTTAGAAAATAAATTCTCTCAAATAAACTTCACTCTTTGTAGTGCAACGGTTAATGGAATAGAGATTTACTTTTTCCGTACGTGATTCCATTCTGCAATTCTAAAATTTAATCTGTTGCACCCACAGTGTTGTTTGCTAGGTGTTGCTTTCTATTTGACTGAGAATATTGATCAAAGTGCTTTTTTTTTTCTTTCTTGTGTCTTGAGTATCATGTTTATTATACCAATGTACTTATAATATTATTTGTCAAAGTCGATATATCCATGCGCGTACAACTAATATTTGATTTGTGATCTTGTCTCAGAAATTTGCTTATAGAATGGCTGAGTGGTTCCAGATAGAGAATATGAATCATTTTAACAGAAAAAAGTATACGAAATTGCTCAATAAGCCCGTCTGATTTTTATTCTGTGTAATCGAGAAATGTTTGAGATGGTTCTCACTATAAAATGAATGGTCACAGAATCCGCTTTCGAACTTAATACCTGGAAAATCGCACATGTAAGGAAGTGCGTTTCTCGGAAGTTACTTTAGATCTGATATGAACCCTTTTCTCGATGATTCTTCAACATTATGATTCACCATTCTTTAAAATAATGTTTCCAGATATTGCCTAACCATTTGCAGAGGTTTACATGTATCTTTCTTTCTAACTTTTGATGTTAAATTTAAAGAAATAACTAAGAAGTTAGTTAGCTTCCCTAAATCTATGTATATTATGCATCAATGATAATCTTTAAATTAATCCAATAAAATACTGTGGGTTTATAATAAAGGACTAAGTGATAAAACTCACCTTTCTGACTATATCGTCGACTAATCTGGAAGAACCTTCTGAAAACAATTCCTCAGTTTTTCTATTGTCTTTCGTTATTCTTAATTCATCTGCAAATATAATTTACACCTTAAGTCAAGTTAGTCAAATAAGCTAGTGTGCTATGCGCCGTTTATTTTGAAAGAATTCCGTAGACGTATGGAACATTTTCCGTGTCAGCTTTAGTTTTATTGAAAGCTTCAAAATACGATATACAAATAAACGAAATACGAACATTTAATTCCTAGTCTTTTCGCCACTAAATCGGCAAGGTCCTTGCAAAATCCGTGGAATTGTTCCTCTTTCTGTCCGAATTCAAACGGCTTAGGCATCAGGTAAGGCTCCTGTAGCACCGTTGTCACAATATACGTTCTATTTATGTCATACGACGCCGGTGATTTTAACTGAACGTGTTTCTGCGAGACAAGCTGTAAACCACGGACATCCGACCACGTTGCTACCTAAAATAAAAAGGATTTAGTCGCTTCATCGCGTCTGTCTAGCACATAGCTTTGTCACCCTGTAAAGCAACAAAAGAGCTTACAAGCTATTTTTACAACCCTGTAAAGTAACTTTTAAGCTCTTTGTATACCAATATAATGTACATATTAAGAACTACAAAATGTTTAACGTGACGACTATAAATAACTCATAGCTAAATAAATAACTCAATGCTCAAAGAAAGAAAAGAAAAAAACGTAAAATCCAAACAAATAAAGTGAATATTGAACTGCTTAACACAGAATAAACAAAACAGTTTATCAATTGAAAAACAAAACCAATAATCCGTTTGAGGCAAACACGGCTGTTCTGTGAAAGCAAATTTTAAAACTTGTCCCGAGTGGCGAGTAGAAGAATGGGCCTAAAAGTTTTATTCGCATTGATTTATGAACGTTGAGAAATCATTAGTGAGTTGTGGAGCAGAAGTAGGGCGAAATAAAGTTAAAATTAACCTTCGACGAAAGTACCTGCTAACTGATGTGCAAAGTTTGTAAGGGTTTTAATAACCCTCATAAAATGGATCTGCGTACCCTGTTATGGTTTTCTTGATACTTTTCGACTAAAATTGGCTCGTAATAATTTACGAGGAATTGTTTAGTTTTTCGAATTTGTTAATTCATAGAAAGCCTTCGTCTAGTTTATCTGCTATCTGAAGGTCAAATTATTATTTTAATATTCACAATTGCACAATGCTTAATTCTATATATAATTGATTAAGCAATTAAAGATGCTCTCCAAGAATCCAGATTCTTTGCTGTGTATTTCTTTTTATTTTATCTTTTTACTCTGGATGTGCTGATAATGGACCACCTGATGTGAAATGGTTACTGGAGTTCGGCGAAATCACAATATCTATGCCACCATTTTAATTATTTAAAATTTGTCTCAGCCTTTACAATAGAAAGCACGACTGCCCCGCGGTTGAAAACAAATAATAAAACCTGAGCAAGTGTCTATTATATAATTTTGCACTTGACTGCGCGTTATTTTTATACATATGTACATTATAAAACCAAACTATAGTTTTTTTTTTCTTTCTGACTAGCTAATAAAGATCCTTCTTTTAAAATAGTCTTGTCAGATTTAATTCCAAATACTTATTAGTATATTGAAGGGATTGGTTAAATTAGTTAGGTGTTTTAAATATCTATATACATCTATAAAAATATCTTCACATCTCAACGAAGTTCAAGTGGAAGAGTATTTTTAACCTGTCTATAGTTAATTTACTAGAGACCACAATACGCGCAGGGCGAGCACCGCTAACCTCATTACGGGGTAAGATTTAAGCTCCAGTTACATTGTTATAACGTTAGTCTTTCAATCGCTTTGAACGAAGATGGTTATTTGTGAGTCCTTGTAATAATGCATTTAACATATTAAATTTGATTAAGAAAAAGTAAAATACGTAAGGACTTATTTACTGAACGTCTGGTATTTAATACGCACAAGTGACGACGCTTGTACCTGAGAGTAAGTATTGTACTTTTTGACGAAGCATGTTGCTGATAACTCTGTTTCTATAATCTGACGAAGCGTGTTGTGGACAATAATATGTGTAAAAAAAGTATTATTTCATTATTGCGAAAAAAATTTTTATTTAATACGCACATATGTCTGATGAATATACCAGATCAGAATCAATAAGATGTTTTGGACTAAAAATTTTGATAGCTCTTTAAATTTGAACTCACCTTCAGCATAGCACTTTGAACTGTCATCTCAACGACATTTAATGTGAAATTGTACCGATGACCTTCCTCATTAAAAGATATATTTCCGGTCAGACCTTCGATGTCCGTCTGAAACCAAACTAATTTTGACACTCAGCCTAAGATCTTTTGATTACTGTGATAATACAATTTGAGACTTACGTTCCTTAAATGTAGGTATATATTCAGAAAGGTCTCAAATGTATGGGAGAAAAAGTGAAAGACACCATTAGACAACAAAGGTGATCCTAAATAATGCACATTTCGATCGACCGGTCTTCATTTGATATGCATTTAGCATATACATGAGTGTGTGGGGTATTTAATTCAATCTATTAACATAAAATTAAAAGCCCTTTCTACTTTTATACAAGTAAACGAAACCCATCAAAATAATTCGATATTAATCGAATCTAAAAGAGATTCTATATTATAATAATATATTTCTACTGGTGGTAGGACCTCTTGTGAATCCGTGCGGGTAGGTACCACCACCCTGCCTATGTCTGCCGTGAAGCAGTAATGCGTTTCGGTTTGAAGGGTGGGGCAGCCGTTGTAACTATACTTGAGACTTTAGAACTTATATCTCAAGGTGGGTGGCGCATTTACGTTGTAGATGTCTATGGGCTCCGGTAACCACTTAACATCAGGTGGGCTGTGAGCTCGTCTACCGATCTAAGCAATAAAATAAATAAAAAATTCGTAATAACAAACCTTTTTTATCAGCCTTGAGATTTTGTCTCCATGCTCGAAAGGCACCACCCAGTTTTTCCCAGGATTACAGTCAATTACTTTAGTTGTGTTCATTTGACCAGCTGCGGCCCGACGCAGTGCATTCCTGAATGCATCCGGTTTCTTCCGCCAGACTCTACTAAGCGCATCCATTAATACCTGGACACCGTCGTACATAAGCGCTGTTTTTGCCTGACAAATAAATATTAAAATGATAAAATATTTTCCAAAACTAAATACGAACCACGGATAATACCAAATATATGATCCAAAATCTGATCCAGAATCCATAATATGATCCAAAATCCATATAAGTGTAAAATATGCTTTTGAAAGTTGCCAAATAACAAAGATACATTATTAATATAATTTCTGAGAATAGTGCTATGCGGAACCTCGAAAGTAATAGCGAACAGCCTACTATTTACATGAATTAATAAAAAAGAGAAATTAATTATACAATTAAAAGTGATTTTTTCTTATTATGGTTACTTAAATTTTACTTTAATGTAGGTATATATTTAGTTGGTTATACAAAGGTTTTTTCAAAACGCCATTATACCGCACTCAAAGGGTACATAGTATAATAATATGTAGATAAATACACGTGTCCAATTTTAAGTTCACAGTACGAGAATTAAATGAATGAGATAATAATATGTACTACAACGTTCAGACTCATAGCACGTTTCATTAAGTGTTAACAACAGTGATGAGTTAACTTACTCCAGAACAATTCTCTTGGGTACACGCATTCGACGCGAAAAAGTCCTAAGTGTATTTGCTCGGAAAGGGGAGATCATATGGAATAATAATTTATGCAGAGGTACCCCACTCACGGTTTCATTAGGGCGTACGTGAGTTAGTGAAATCTACATAAACGCGTTATTACTCCACGTCAAAATTTCTTCGTGAGCCGCCATTTTCAATACCCTACTATATAATTGTATACTCAAGGCGTATGCTACGTGGAGATAACACATTATTACACATTAAAATACTAGTACAAGTTCAGTAAACGTAATGCTATCGTGAAATTGAATGTTATCAAGCAAACGAGAATCATAAGAAAGAAAATTATCTTAACGCTTATCTAAAATTTCCACCAAAGAAGCTTCTGGTAATTATTAGATCAACAAAAGCGTTCTTTTCAGAAAAAAAAGTTGAGCAAATAATTTTCTCGTTTAAAAGGTGAAGTCCATATTATTTAATGTTCTTTCGCGGTTTTTGATAAAACTGGATAAAACTTTGCCTTACGTTTTTGTTTGAATCCTATAAACTATAACGAGCTAAGCTTAGTATATTTTAGCATAAGATTTTTTGTATTTTTAATCACATTTGTTTGGCTGTAATTTAAGAGAAATATAATAACCAACAACATTCGTTTGATAATGAATAAGGCTATAAAGCAATGGCGTAAGAAAATGTAATAATATATTTAAGTAGAAATCATTGTTCTTGCGATGCGAGTCAGTTAAACACTTAAAATACATTAGATTTTAGTATAACGTCATAAAAGAATTTCTCCAAGTAAATACATCGAGTCTATGGCAGAAAACCTCCATTTGAACTAAGATTCACATTGGATTGAATTTTTAATCCTTTTAATACAATTATATTATATTATAGTTCTGAAGTACAAATTAATAAACTTATGCGCTAACCGAATACTACTAATAATAGAGAATATCGTAAAATTTACAGATAACCAAAAGGACCGCAAAGCAATTAATTGAAATTTGAATGAATTTATTATCAAATATTAAACAACATTTCCACCAAAATGAAATATTAAATTAATTTGGAAATTACCGTGCTAGTCCAAATTTTACCCTAAAGTACATACATACATATGTTAAAAGTAAGAAACATTTTCAGAACTTTCAGAAAAGGAAAGTATAAGAATATTCATGCTATGTATATTAATTAAAAGTTTTGGAGCTCGCTCTGAATATGTTCACTGACTGATAGCATAATTATATCTGTCTTCGACACGGCTATTACAATAACATTCAATGTACTGTTTATCGGTATCCTGATATTATTTATCGAATGTCACTTATGGCTCTTAATATAGCTTACAGCTTAGCTTAATATAGCTTAGCATACGATTCTTTTCGTACTTACCAATGTGACGATGAACGCACAACACTTACCGATATAGTCCCCTTGAACCGGGGGTCCATTCTTCGCAAACCTTCCATGAAATCGCGAACAATCTTCCTAGAGTGGTCAACGATGCGGAACCCCGTAATATTGACTGCTCCGTACTCAGTAACCTCATTCTCCCAATGATCATCCATCACCTAGTAATTGGGTATTTTTTTAGTACCTACTTCTCAAACTACGAACCTTAGAATTTCGATTTAAAGATAACTTCGTATCTGTTCTGGTTTTAGGTGTTGAGGCTTATATAGAAATAATGGTAATACCAGTATAAAAGACAGGAGACAGTGAAATTAAGTTGACTGTTTCTACTCAATAAGAGTTCTAACTAGATAAACGTCAATAAAGAATAGTACATGATGTCTTTTTCAAAAATTCCTTCAAGTTTTATTACACGGTCTTGTCCTTTTATAGTTATAGTGGTATTCAATCGTGGACACGTGTTAATTGCGTGTCTCATTAGAAGAATTGGAGTCCTCCTGCGCGACTCGAATAACCATAAGGTCAGATTGCTCAATACGAGTATACCGGGCATTTTATCCTTTAGGCCGCGACAACTTCAATCTGTATTGTGTAGGTGTGCATGTAAATTGTTTTTTTACATAAGAGTATCAGATAATAATTTCTAAATATCAGAATATAGATGCTAACGGATTTACGATTATCAATAATTTGTGATTTAAATATGAAAAATAAACTGCCAAGTAAATTTTTTTTTGTTGCCTAGATGGTTGGACGAGCTTACAGCTCACCTGGTGTTAAGTGGTTACCGGAGCCCGTAGACATCTACAACGTAAATGCGCCAACCACCTCGAGATATAAGTTCTAAGGTCTCCGTATAGTTACAACGGCTGACCCGCCCTTCAAACCGAAATGCATTACTGCTTCACGGCAGAAATAGGCGGGGCGGTGGTACGTACCCGTGCGGACTCACAAGAGGTCCTACCACCAGTGAATGAAATTAACAGAGCAAAGAATTTTCAAATTTTGACTATAAGCCGACACGGGACTAAAAAAGGTCAGCCATGCAATACTTACTAGTCCACTGAGCATGTAGTGGTATGTCCTGCGCCCCAATTGAACTTTTCGGACGTGCTCGACTAATATGCTTTTGGCGTTTTTCGCATTGCAATCAAGCACGATGCGCTTGTTGCCCCAGCGATCGTGTTGTTCCAATGTTAACAGGAATTCCAAAGCTTCTGACGCGTTATTAATTCGCTTCACGAGGGAGATTCGGAACGCGGTACGGCCGGGCTGCATGGATTGGTACAGCTGCTGGAGCCTCAATAATCCTGACAGCGAAACGTACATTTTTAGACCACTGACATGTATTTCTGACGAGGGATTCCATATTTTCTGTTTCAATGTGAAACAATGAACACCATTTGGTTTTTATTCAAAAGAAATACTCGACATTGAGTGTGATTTTTAAATAAACTTAATTCAATTCATCAGTACATCGGAAAATTGTTCAATTATTTAGTTTAGTAAATAATTGGTGGTTTTAATCAATATTTATACCAACATGCATTTCCGTTGCTTAATGTTATAATATAAATCATATGTCCAATAATATAATAATGTAATATTAAAATTACTATACGATATTATTAGCACTTAAATTAAAAATGAACACTTTGTTATGATTGGATCAGGTTGAATTTGTCTTTACGTTTTTAAGTAATCATTTAAGTAGTCGTCACTCATGAATATCAGCACTATTAGAGGCACACCCTGGAGTATTTAGATCGACAGAATCCCTTAACTAAACAACGTGACCACTATGTATTTGGACTTGTAGTGTTTGTATTGACATATGTACAAATGTATAAATATTAGTACAGTACAGAGTTGTAGTAGACGGCAGAATAAAATACAATATTAGATTGAAATCACTGGCAGCATTTATATGCCGGTCTATTTTCCAGTTCTCCTAAACCAATTCGAGTCCACACGAATTTTATCGAATTAAACGCCCCATATAAAACAAGCGAAACGAAAAAGGGACAAAGCGTGCTCCGAAGAGGCAAAAAAAAATAAAAACGTTTTCGCTGTGCGTGAGTGGGAAGCCCAGGGTACCAGTATATTTATAATAATGTATCTATCTAATGAAACGGATAAAAATGCGATACCGTGCTTTGTTCACGAGCATTCGCGTATTATCTATTGATACATTATGACAGGGAAAGGTTTACAAACACGGAAAAATAATTTAATTTTGTGTTATTGTTCAAAGATTACAAAAAAAGAATACATTATGAAATAAATGTGTTTGAAAATGTTCATTTACGAACATATTAATAAGGGTTTCCCTGGAAAACATAATTAGACAACAAGAACAAATAAGTTGATTGAAATTTGCTTGATTTAAAATGATTGTTTTTTTACTAGATAATATTATCGACGATGATGTCCACTTTGTGATGTGTACGAATATTAATATCGCCTACCATCAGACGGTTCGTCTGCTTACGGCAGCCAATTAAAGCTTAACGAAAAGGAAATCACTCGATCTACAACTCGGTAAGAAGATACATTAACTCCTTTCACTTGGCTGGTAACTGTCAGTAGATAGCATATATTCGACATAATACGAATCGCAATATGATCTGTACAGTTGAAAGCCGATTGAGGAAAAATCTGCGGCGTAGAATCAACGCAAGTGTAGTTTGTATTATAAGAAATCTAATGTACTTATACCAAACGATAAGACTATTTTGATATATACTTCTTGCAATTGGGTTCCAATTTTTTCAAGGAAAATTTATTCGTATCTAATGACTGTTGAAAGATGTCTTGATGACGCTGTGGGGATAATATCGTGTAGGTACTAAAAATTTAACTATCACTGAAGCGTTTTTTATATTTATGATTTTTAGTGGTAAGGGTATTTATTGTATGCCCGTACATTGTCTTGTCTATGTTTGGAGCGAAATTGTTCAGTATGCATTTCACAAGATATGGAGGGTAAACACGTTCAACAATAAAATGAAAGAAAAATTATATTCGAACAATGATTTCAGTAATAGATATTCTACACGATAGCAAATCTAACAAAAAAACCACCACGCCTACTGTCATTAGCGAAACATTAACTTTACGCTGAAAAATATCAAATCTAGAAATATACTAGACACAATGTATGACAAAGTAGTTTAATAAATAATACCTTTCACAGCAGAAAATAAAAAAACCCCTAAGACCTAATACTATTACGAGATACTAGGAGAGCTAACGAAATGACAGAAACTTTGTTGTGAATCGAAATAAATCGAATGGTTGTTGAATTTGACGTAAAAACAGTCACATCTGAGTCGATCCGGATCGATCAATTGTTTCCTACAATCAGTTTATTATTCATTAAAATAATTTATCTAAAAGTGACGTGTGAAATAATAGGTTCATCCCAATAGAAATTATTCGAAAATATTCAAACTGTTTGTAAGATATTCCCCCAATTTGGTGGCATTAAGCCAAGCGTGACTTGAACGCAACTTGAAGCCACACTACTCATGACTTAGACAAGCACTCTGATCACACCATTAAGACTAAGAATTGGAGCCCACTGTTGAATACGTTACAAACGTAATGCACACCAAAGTTGCATAGGTACAATTTACGTTGAAGTAGGGACCGACTATCTATTTATTTGTTATCTGTTTCTACGTGATTTAAATTAAATTAGGTTTTCTCTGTTTTCAGAGATGATCGTTTGGGGAAACTTTTACGTCTACACAAAACAAAAAACAGATCGCAATCTGTTCTGTTGTTCTGTAGAATAGTGCAGAGCGGGTAGACAAAAAATTCAAACGAAAGAAACAATGTGACTTTCCAAAACATAGGACTAAAGATCATAAACATACGCTGTATTTTTACACATCAATATTTTGCGAGTTATCTTGTTTTGGTTCCACTATGTCTTCGCACGTCGTTTATTCGATTTCATTGTAAGTTTTAATGATTATTACTGCCACTTCAGGAAGGCTCCCGTAATATTTTACACTTGACTACAGTATCCAAGTTGTTTCAACAAATGTAACAAATCTATAAGCATTTCATGAAATATTTTGCTCTAACTGTAGCGTATATTGATAATAATAAATTTATGTTTAAAAAAAAACGACATATAAATAGCGAAATTAAAAACCCTTAAGTGAATGCCTAAATTTTATTTTCAATATCTACAGAAAAGTAACGGCTATATTATTAAATTAAATACAATGTTTATACGAATTGTCCATTTCGATTTCGATTTACTTGTGTTTCAATGGCTCGTGGAATGAGTAGATTCTTGATTCTTTTGTTGAGAGCAATTCTGCTACCAAGTGTTGCAGCCGCAGCTTTGCTTTTAGTTGTAATTGTTTACTTTTCTCGTTGTATTTGCTCGTCACGAAAACAAATGTGTTTATTTTATGAGCCTAATTTTCTAGATCGATCTTAATGTCTGAATAGAAACAACTATGCGAGAATTACGTTGCCGTCTTAAGAAAATCTTTAATAATATTCAGCCAATTTGGTAAGAACTTTTTTTTTTTTTTTTTTCGGGTAG